TTTATGTTTGTTTTAAAAACCAATAAAAAAATTTAAAAAAAATTGCAAGGAAATAATCAAAACCAAAAGTCTCCAAACACAAACCAGGATAGTCCGAACTTCCACAAGACTTGAAGTGCAAGAACTTCTTTGCTTCCTGCAAAGAATCCCATCTCCGAGGGCTGGCTTTTATCCCTTAAGGGAGGGGCCATCACCTTTTATTTGATTTGCCAATTGTTTACAAGATAATAAGTATAAATGTATACATAGTTGTGAATACATGAAATGGTTACATATAAGAAAAATAAAAGAATAAGAGAAACAATAGGACAGGGACGGTAGGCACGTTGGTGCGCTTATGCACGCCCCCTACAGACCTCTTAGGAAAGGGGTGAGGTCAATAGTAGACAGTCTAAGGTTAAAGTTTTTGGGGTTTGGGGAAGAAACTACAGAGTCGGGTAGAGTATTCCAGACATTGACCACTCTATTGCTGAAGTCGTATTTCCTGCAATCAACCTTACAGCCTTACTCCCGAGTCACCTGTGCTGCTGCAGCTGCTCTTTCCTTCGAGCAGCCCTGCGCGCACATGCATTGGGCACAGGCTCCTTGGGTCTTCTGCATCACTGCTCCCAGCCTCCACAAGCTCCAAAGGCAGCACTCCACTCTCTGATAATCCTGGTTCCATCCCTGCATCACATGCAGGCCCCTCATCTGAGTCCTCACTCTCCAACACCTCAGCCTACACCTGCTGCTGGCGAACCACAACACTAACCTGCTTTCCAGCTCCATTCTCCTGTGCAGGGCAAAAAAAGAAGACCCAGCCAATCAGCTGGGACTCGGGAGGCAGAGAATAGATGGGGGCTCGGCCAGTCAGAGGTGGTATTTGCCGGTTCTCTGAACTTCTCAAAATTTCCGCTACCGGTTTTCCAGAATGGGTCAGAACCTGCTGAATACCACCTCTGGTCTTATTCTTGGGGACTGTTTCTTAGTTTTTAGCCAAATGCCTTAAATACCGCACTAAATTGGATTTCAATGTCACAAAGTAAAATAGGCTTACATAGTACACTCTAGTGAATGGTGATGATGGAATTAGACATGAGTTTGGGGGAGATTGTGGAACACTCTAAATGAATGCAGTCAGGGAGGGGGAATCTGTTTGATGGAATGGATAGATGGGAAGGAAATTAATCAGTAGAGAAAAGGTGACTGGAACATTCAAAATCCAAAAGTGAAGAAAAGTGGGAAAAGGTGAATGGAATATGTGGCTCAAATATCTCTTTTCATATGTACCAGAGGTGGTATTCAGCAGGTTCTAACCAGTTCTGGAGAACCGGTAGCAGAAATTTTGAGTAGTTCGGAATACCATCTCTGACTGGCCCCGCCCCCATCTATTCTCTGCCTCCCGAGTCCCAGTTGATTGACTTAGTCTTCTTTTGTTGCCCAGCACAGGAGAACAGATCTGGAAAGCAGGTTAATGGGGTGCAGAAAGAATGGAGATTTTACAATATCCTTCCCCTGCCACTCCCACCAAGCCACACCATGCCCACCAAGCCATGCCCACAGAACCGGTAGTAAAAAAATTTGAATCCCACCACTGATATGCACTTCTGGCAAAGAAATGTATGTGATTGAAACATGTGATATCTGGAGAGTGTATGGTACATACAAGGAATCCTTTTGATGAATTTAAGAATTTGGATGTTGAGGCTAATGTATACTTTTGTATACAGATATTACCTTTTTGTTAGCTGAGAACTTAACTGATTTTCAGCAAATGCTAGGTAGATCGCATGATGCCATGAGGAGTATGTACCTGAAAATTAATCTAAGATTGTTGTTCATGCTTATTTCTGGAAGATATCTCAAACTACATACCTAGTACATGACCCTAACTCCCCAGCCTCCCACCCAGTGGTGGGCTTCCACCGGTTTCACAACTGGGTGAGTGTGCGCTTTGTGCACATGCAGCACATTACAAAACCACCATTTTACAGCTTTAAAACTTACATTCCACTGCAACGCCGGTGAGTAAAAAAGCTGAGACGTGGCAATCTGCTGTGCCGTGCCTCAGCTGAGCTTCAAAACTGCAGAAATAAAGGACAGACTAAAGCAGGGGCAGGTGTGCGGGCCCAACCAATCGCCACAGCAAAGGGTTCACCCAAACCCATGCGAACCCTGAGCAGCCAACCCCTGCTCCCATCCCCAAATCTTTGTCTCTAAAATACAGGCATTAGCACCATTGCGTCCCTTATAGTGAGGGAATGAATGAGACCTACATACCAATTAGGATGTCTACTATGGATTATTTAATTGATTACCTTCTTTTATATCCAACCCTGCACTTCTATACAACAGTATGATTTTTACTAGATATTTCACATAATGTCAAGAGGCTGTGAGTCCAAGTGAAGGTGGGGGGAGGTTAAAGGGAGAGAAACTGGACCTGCAGTCTGCTGAGAGTGATTTGGCTGGAGCGCAGCTGCAGCAGGAGGCTTCAGGTGGGGAAAGCATGCAGCTGCAGCCAGTCAGTCATGAGGAAGAGGAACTGCCTTCTGCATTGATCCGAAACCATGTAGGGAAGTTTTCCTTCCACATTCAGACCACTTGGAAATGGAATTGATTATGTTGTGTAACAGTAGAAAACAGCACTTAGCTTTATTATGTAATTAATTACATAATGTGATATGTTTCCAGGCCATGTGAAATAGCTTTCGGTATCACAAGAATTCACAAGTATTAAATTATTACTGTCTACCAACTTTAGATCAGCTCTTAATTTTTCCCCCTCTTCTCTACCGTTATCTGCAAAAGTGAAATGTATCACTTTACTTTAAATAAGTAGATGTACAATTGAAAGGGAATAGGTCAGTATGCAAACTATAAAGCCATTTTAAAATATATCATAGAAATCTAAAATGCATGATAGACTGCTACAAGAAACAAAAATAGCTTAAAATAATCAGAGTCAGTCCACATTAAAAAAAAATCCCAAAACATCCATTTGGCAATAAAATGACTTTCATAAGCAATAAGGATGGGGGTTTGCTTACTTATTGTTTATTTGGCTTTGTTTCTTTTTTATTTGTTCTTTTTAATTTCTTCCAAACCGTTATGGAATATCATAAATGTGACTTTTTAGAATGTCATAAATAAATCTTTCTTGACAGAGAATTCCATTCTCACACTGCAGAGAAGACTTTCTATTGCATTTGGGTCAGTTTTGTGTCTGTCACTTCTGAGTCACAGAAAAATTTCTGGAGCTTGAACAAAAAAAGAAAGGAAGCTGAACTTGATTACCTCAACTAAGAAGTGCATTTGGAGAATTAAAATAGATTGAATCTCACATTTAGCACCTGTGATGGCAAAAGGAAGCAAAAACCTATTTTTACTTTGAACTTGTAAACATGACATGATCAAGTCTGATTCCTCACGTTACGTTAGGAACTATATTCCTGCCTGTAACTAAGCTCTTGTCAGCCTTTTGTGACAAATAGAAAGAAATATTACTTATCTCCATACAAACGGGATGAAATTGACAAAAGGCAATGGAGATTGAGCCCGTGCAATTGACGGAGGTAGGTAGACTTGAAAAGATACAGTCACTCAGCAAAACTGCAAGAGGGTGCAATCCATGGCCTAATCCCATCAAAGTTCCACTCTTTGGTCTGAAGAACCATACCAAATGCTATTTCCAGTGCTGCTGCTTCCCCAAAAAAGGGCTCCTTTTACATAGACAAAGAATAATCTGGTTTCCTTCCTATGGTTTCAACATCCTAACAGAAAGTCAGAGTTCTAAAATTTCCAGCTCCACAATTCAAAATTCCTAGGAAGAACTTACATTTCTTTTGTATTCTGTTCCTCTTTTCTGTAAAATGGAACCCGGCAATTATTTTTTCAATAAAATGTATGATCTTTCATTAGTTCCTTAGAGTTATGCTCCATTTTTCACAATATCTCTTTCACAAATCGCAGTAGTATTCTAGCAACATTTAAGCATATAACTTGTTTTAAATCATAGACTGCAGAAGAATACAGAGCTGTTTCAACTAATTACAAGAGTGTTTGATCAGTTTGGCTTTCAGATTAATAATCTATCCATGCAAATGTCATCTTCCAAAGGAAACGCGGCTCCTTTTGTGAAACTGCCCTTACTCCTGGTACTGTAGTCCTTGTAGCAGTTTTCTTGACTACTAATATATTAGAGGCAAAGTAGATATTTTATATAATTTTATAGTGTTTATTTCCACATGACTACATAAATTAGGGTAGATACATCTATGGATAAGAAGGGAGGAAAATATTATAGCATAATTATTCTTCCACTTTGATAAATGAACTGGAAAACACAAATGATGTTCTTTTGCCTAATTGGTTTAGAAAAGCTACTCATATAGTAATAGACAATTGAGACATGCTTGCTACATGAATTGTACCAAAAGTCATAACACAAGTCTTATTTATAATCTGTTCTTTCAAAAAGATATACCAAATTAGCAGTCCTTCCCACTCACAATTTTTAAAAATGTAAAAAATAAAATAAACAATTGATGTGGTATGTAGGTAGTATAATTTCTCAGTGTGTTGGGCATTCAGAACATAAACTCTGTCTAAGAAGCTACTCTCTGTCTCATATATGATTGTTTTTAAAAAAGCAAAAATGCCCTCATATTTATGTTGTTTCAGAACTCAGAATTTTTTTAAAAAAAAATCTGCTAAATGTGTATATAAGTCTGGTGATGCTCTAGAACTGAGGTTCCTGCATCAACTGAGTTAAAAATAAATTTTCTTTTGTTTAATATCATCTGTAATTCTATTTCCTGTGGAATTCCTCATCCAGAGAATAATAAATTACATGGACCCACCAGGTATCTCAATCTGGATGCAGCATTTTCATAACAGGATAGTAACTCTATGGTGGAACAAATGTGCATCTGAATCTTCTGTGTATTACTGAAAAGGTTAGTTAAAATCAATCTAACTTCTTTTCTTTTTTTCTTTTCTTCCTCTTCTTTCCTTTCTAGTCCATGAGTTTAATTGAGATTGGCAATCCTTCTCAAAGTTTAGAGAATGTGTGTCGTTGGGCCTACCTACAACAAAAACCTGATACTGGACATGCAGAATATCATGACCATGCAATTTTTCTCACAAGGCAGGACTTTGGACCTTCTGGAATGCAAGGTGAGTAATCTACTACCAATCACCCCATCTAACTTGCACTGTTAACCTGGCCATTCAGTGAAAAACAAATCTCAATTATTAATGTCTATGGGGATTCTCAGTCATCTAGGTTAGGGTTGTCCCGAAGGTGCTTTTGGTTTTTCTTTAAAGATGTTTTGCTTCTCATCCAAGAAGCTTCTTCAGCTCAGAGCTGAAGAAGTTTCTTGGATGAGAAGCAAAACGCCTTCAAAGAAAAACCAGAAAGTCCAGTTGCCTCTTGAAAAAGCGCCTTTGGATCAATTATTAATACTTTGCTACTAGGCACAGATGGACAATTGACATTCTATATATCCTATGTAGGCCTCCATTATTCTCCCATTGAACCCCTGGAGTTGTTGTGCTGAGCCCTTGCCACCATTTAGTCAAAGAGCCATGTAATATCTCTGAGACATACTGTGGTCTATCCTTCTCCACACCAACAACTAAAACCTTTGAAGGCTATTGGGTATCTATACTATTGGGTGTCACCAACATAATCTTATGTTTTAAATGGCTTCTCTTTCCTTGGTTTCATGTTTATGGAGAAGATAGTTTCAACCGATAAGGAATGGTTTTCCTACATCAGCCATCTTAACATGGGCACCTTCTCAATTTTTTGCAGGTAGCATGCTGAGTGGGGAATTCTCAGAGTTGACTTCTGCATCTAAATGATGCCAAGTTGGAGGATAATGTCTTATGTGATACACAATGAAGGCCCACTAACTAATCTATCAGTTCAGGCAGTACTTGAAGGCAGGATAATGTGTGTTCCACCCACAACCTTAGAAGGAGTATTCATCCCATATCTGTTTCTCTGTAATTGGCCTGGGTCAAGTGGTTTCAGATTTATTCTTCTGTGTTCAGGGATTTCTGAATATTTTTCTTCTTAACAAAGCCAAAGTAATCTTGCAAGTTAACAGCCTTGCCAAATGCAGTGCAACTACTTTGGGATATAGATCTTAGATGTTTTAGTTGGAAAGCATAGTAATTTCTTGAAATATATTTCTGAACCGAAGAACCTATTTCATTTACAAGATTTTTTTTTAGCAGTGCTATGATGCCCACATATTTCTCAAGGAATATAAAAACAAAAAGGAAACAAAACACCATGACTGAAAAGTACAATTCAATCCTTTCTTCTCCAGCTAAATTCATGGTCGGCTCAGCTGGTTAAAAGTTAGCAGGAAATTCATTCATAATTAAATGCTGGGCAACCTGCTGTTTCAATTTCAGTTACCTTTTTTAAATACTTAATTTGTATGAAAGGTTTTAAGAACAATAATAAGAACAACAACTGCACAAAAAAATTGAACAGAAAGAGTGAAAAAGAAATAAAGAAATAATAGGAAAAAAATAAAAGCACAGTAAGAAAAGAATATAGGGAAAATTAAGGGAAAAGCAAGATATAAAGGCATAAAGAAGAGCCTTCTGATTCTTCACAGTAGCTATAAATACAATTATATTTTAATCTCATTCACTAAAGTTATAGCTCTCTTCTTTATATAATCTACCTAATCACAAGTTCATTCCTTTTCCGTTTTATGCAAAAAATCTATAAGGCTTTCCAGTTACTAATAAATGTGGATATTGACTTTTCTCTGTTGTTGTTGTTTCAGTTACCTAAATTGTGTTCAAAATTGTGTGCATTTCCCTGAATGCAATGTTGCACTCACCTAGTACTGTAAGGTCTTCAGATTTAATTTCACTCACAAGTTTTTTGTTTTCTTGAGAGTCATTTTGTAACTTAGTTGCATAAGGGTGATTAGATCACTCTATTCTCATAGACAGCACATACAGGTTTTATTTTATTCCTGAAAATAAGGCTTCATTCTGCTGATCTACATAACTGGGTGATTGTTTGAGTGATGCAAGGTTTATATGCTGGTTACTGAACAGTGCTGGACTTGGAAGCAAATTAACAGTCATCATTGTGATAATAGTAATAAAGTAACTGCTGAAAAAAGATTGAGATTATATTTAGTAATTTAGTACAGGTGCACATTTTTAGGTGAAGAACTGGATTATTATTCAATGGAAAATATTATTTTGGAAGAATGTGGATTAGTTGGAAGGACAACAGATTGGGAAGGTTTGCTAGCCACACACAGATCCTTCAGTCCATAGATGCTCTTCAGTATTATTCCTGCTCTTATAAGCAGGTACTAAAGAGATCAGAAAATAGAGTATTGCAAAGTCAAAGAAGTCTTCCCTGTAATGACTGAAATGTCAGTCACTAAAAGTTCTGTTTTTTGTCCATGTCTTGGCCCACCTTGGCATTTTTCATATTAGAATGGTGAAGCTTTTTAAAGGTACTTTTTATGACATTCTATATCACTGCTACAACTTTCTATTGTTTATTCTGAATAGGGTCCTAATTCACTTCAGCAGTGAAACTCTCCGAAAGAATTTTGATTTGGGAAAATCTGATGCACATTCCTAATTTCTGATTAGTTTCCATTTTGTACACACTCATTTTATAGCCATTGCATCTTATTTCTTATTATATTTCAACTGTACACATGTCTTCCTAAAATATTTGTGGTTTTATCATATTCTTATAAAATGCTTTTATATATATAAACTCTCTCTAAAACATATATTTGGTAAAGATTTTTTCATAAAAGGCTCATCTTATTTACTGGCTCTTTTTTTTTTTTTTTTAAAAGCATAACTTTCTGCATTTTCTTTCCATTTCATAGCTCAGCATCCATTCATTGTAATAAATTTCCTTTTCCCTTTCCCTTTTCCTTTTATTTAGGTAAGACGTCTGTTGCAAGATCACTTGGAGACTGGTGCTCTTAAATAGTTATTTGAGCTTAATTTCCCTTTTCTTCATTAGTGTCTTATCTTCTCCTTAACAGGCTATGCTCCAGTTACTGGCATGTGTCATCCAGTTCGAAGCTGTACTCTTAATCATGAAGATGGCTTCTCCTCAGCATTTGTTGTAGCCCATGAAACTGGACATGTGTAAGTAGCACTTCCATATAGCTGTAATGCAGAGGTGGTATTCAGCAGGTTCTGACCAGTTCTGGAGTAGTAGCAATTTTGAGTAGTTTGGAACTGACTGGCCTCGCCCCCATCTATTCTCTGCCTCCCAAGTCCCAGCTGATTAGCTGGGTCTTCTTTGGTTGCCCTGCACAGGAGAGCTGGAAAGCAGGTTAGTGGGATGTGGAGAGAATGGTGATTTTACATATCCTTCCCCTGGAGTGGGGTGGGAATGACAGTATCCTTCTCCTGCCCCACCCACCAAGCCATGCCACGCCTACCAAGCAATGCCCACAGAACAGGTAGTATAAAAAAAAATGAATCCCTAAATTAACATTTAAGGTAACACCTAGTTCCCTATCTGATTCTGCTTAGTACATTCTACCTACTAAGTTTTTTTTAAAAAAAGAAAAAAAATAGTAAATCCATAAAGTAATTAAATATATAATTAAACATTAAATCTCATAACATTCCAATTATCTATTTCAAAAACAAATACCATAATAATAAGTTCATACAAACATCCACACAATAGTCAATTAAACTCTATACTTAAACTAAATATTTTAAACATTCCTTTTAATATTTTATTAAATCTTAAAATCTATCATTATTAAACCTTTAATGTTTTAATCTTTACTTAAGTTAATTTAGGGGAGCGATGGAAAGGCATCATACTTCGATTAGTGATTTCAGGAGAAATCTTTTTTTTTCTAATATGAATGAGATAAATGGATAATTGGAAAAGAATGGACAAAAGATACAAATATAATGATTTAAATTAAGATGAAATAAATAAAATAGAATTAAGAAGAGTGGAAAGCGGGGAGAAGTTATAATGAAGATATAGAAGGGTAAATAAGATAGGTAATGGCATATAAGTTGAACATGAAGTTAATTGAAGTCCATACAAAGAGAGGTAATCCGGGGCCAAGCTACTTTTTAAAAAGAAGTTTTATGTTTTTGTGTTTTGTGTGTGTATGTCTGATTGAGATTTAATAAAACCTTGGGAGAAAGCGAGAAGGATAATTGTAAACAAGGCAGAGGGAAATATGAATATGATGAGTATAAAATGGATAAATATAGAAGAAATGTAATTGAATAAGAGCAAAGAGAAATAATGAGAAATCTGCTAAAAAATATTTAAGTGGAAATGGGATATATTAGAATTATATTGTATAAAACAATGTTTTATCTGCCTTGTAAAAATTTATAATGGAAAGAGGTTTAATGTCTTTAATGTCTAATGATGCTTTGTTTGTCTTTAAAATTAATAAAATTTGTTTAAAAAAAAAATGAATCCCACCACTGCTGTCATAATCCTGCATGTTATATGTTTGGTGGGATATGATTTCAGTCATTTCAGTGGAGAGAGTCAGGGCTTACAAGCAAAAGGATGCAGTTACAGATTACTTTATTTCATTTGTACAGGGAGTCTTCTTCAGGAAGAAAAAAAATTGATTCATTGAATCTTAGAATATATGAATTGGAATGGAACTTAAATGTTGTCAAGGCCCAACTCTTGCTCTCTGCAGGAATTCACTAAATTATCTATAACAGGTGATAACCATCTCTCCCTTGTTTGAAACCCCCCACTAATAGAGAGTCCATCACTCCTGCCCTCACTGTGTTATAATTTAGGCATAAAATACCTAATTATAAAATAATTATAAAATACCTAATTATAAAATACCCAATTTTATAATCCACCACTTTCCTTCTGCCAGGATACAAGTTGACACCTTCATTTCTTCTTCATTATTTATGTATTCAGTTTAATCCCATTACGTTTTAGTAAATTGGTTTTTAAATCGCCTCTAATCAGATTGTGGCCATTATCCATGGGGGTACAGCTTGCATTTGTAATATGGCTTAGAACCCTTATTGCTCTTCTTCTTACTTCTGAGTATATCTGAGGTAGGGAGGGGTCTATACATCAGATTTGAATCGACACAAAAATTTATATCACCAGATAAAGACCGAATGCACCAATTACCACATTAAACAAGAGGAAAACCTTCTAAGCACCAATTCCACCCGTGCTTTTTACAATTTTGTAAACAACAAACTAAAAGACTCAAGGTCCATCCCTCCCTTGATAGGACCTGATGGTAAAGACTGCAGCGACGACACCATTAAAGCCAACATCTTTAACACATGCTTCGGCTCAGTGTTTGTAAACAGTAATGGATCATGCCCAATGTTTCCTAGCCGTACCACAGATAACAATAATGATCTAATACATATCGATTTTACAGTAGACAACGTTGAAAAAGCACTACGCAACCTAAAACCATCTCTATCTATTGGACCGGATGGAATATGTGCCTACTTCTTAAGAAAGCTATCCACTGCCATAGCCAAACCTCTAAGCATAATCTTTGAAAAATCTTTCAGAACCAGCTCCTTGCCCAACCTATGGTTACAAGCCACAGTCATCCCCATCTTCAAAAAGGGAGACCCAAGCCTAGTTGAAAATTACAGACCAATCTCCTTATGCTGCGTCACCTGTAAAGTCATGGAATCAATTATTAACCAATCCATCATCCTCCATTTAGAGACAAACAACCTACTCTCCAATAAACAATTTGGTTTCAGAAAAAAACTATCCTGTAATCTGCAACTCTTACACTGCAAAAACATATGGACTACACAACTCGACCAGGGCAAAGCAATAGACGCAATCTACATAGACTTCTGCAAAGCCTTTGATTCAGTGGTACACGACAAACTACTCCTAAAAATAAAATCTTATGGTATCTCTGGACAACTGAATAACTGGATAGAAGCATTCCTGTCAAACAGACAACAAATGGTCAAAATTGGGAACGCCCTATCAAATCCAGTACCTGTCAATAGTGGTGTTCCCCAAGGCAGTGTTCTAGGACCAACTCTCTTCATAATCTACATAAACGACCTTTGTGATCATATCAAGAGCAATTGCGTTCTCTTCGCTGATGATGTAAAGCTGTTCAATACCACAGACAATACTACTACCCTACAAAAAGATCTAGACTATGTATCTGAATGGTCTAACATATGGCAACTTCAAATCTCAACAAATAAATGCTCTGTCTTACATATTGGTAAAAAAAATCAGAAAATAAAATACAAGCTGAATAGTCAAGATCTTGTTGATGACCCAAGCTCTGTAAAGGACCTGGGAATACTCACCTCTAATGATCTAAGTGCTAGAGCCCACTGCAACTACATAGCCAAAAAGGCATTAAGAGTTGTTAACCTAATCCTACGTTGCTTTTTCTCTGGTAATATCTCACTACTAACCAGAGCATACAAAACATTTGCTAGACCAATACTCGAATACAGTTCATCAGTCTGGAATCCTTATCACGTATGTGATATTAACACAATTGAGAAAGTCCAGAAGTATTTCACAAGAAGAGTTCTCCACTCTTCTACCCGTTGTAGAATACCTTATGCCACCAGACTCGAAATTCTAAAACTAGAAAACCTCGAATTACGCCGTCTTCGGTCCGACTTAAGCATGGTATATAAAATCATACATTGCAATATCCTACCTGTCAATGAATACTTCAGCTTTAACCATAACAACACAAGAGCACACAACAGATACAAACTCAAAGTAAACCGCACCAAACTTGATTGCAGGAAATACGACTTCAGCAATAGAGTGGTCAATGTCTGGAATACTCTACCCGACTCTGTAGTCTCTTCCCCAAACCCCAAAAACTTTAACCTTAGACTGTCTACTATTGACCTCACCCCTTTCCTAAGAGGTCTGTAGGGGGCGTGCATAAGCGCACCAACATGCCTACCGTCCCTGTCCTATTGTTTCTCTTATTCTTTTATTTTTCTTATATGTACCCATTTCATATATTCACAACTATGTATACACTTGTACTTATTATCTTGTAAACAATTGACAAATCAAATAAATAAAAATAAATAGTTTCTTATCTAGACGCAAATTATTTGAAGTTCTCTGAAGTTCAGTAACTTTGCCCAGCCAAATGAATAAGTTGATGATATGGTTCCCTTCAGTGATGGGATTCAATTTTTTTTACTACCAGTTCTGTGGCTTGGTGGGCGTGGCAGGGGAAGGATACTGTAAAATCTCCACTCAGAGGTGGTATTTGCCGGTTCTCTGAACTACTCAAAATTTCCGCTACCGGTTCTCCAGAACTGGTCAGAACCTGCAGAATATCATCTCTGGTTTCTTTGGTGACCCTCTGCATGTGGACTGAGGGTGAAGAAAGGAACTCTTTTCCACGGTCTTATAAAAATAACTCCCCAGCCTTTGCAAACATTTTTCATGTTTTGAATTCTTCTCTAGCCAACAAGAGCATCATAAAATATTTTATTGTTGAGAAAGGAAAAGAGAGTGCATTGTTGGAACCAATGTGTTGTGTAGAAAATAGCTCTAACTTTTTTCACCCTCTTTTTCAGAAAGACACAGAGTCACCAATGCACAAGGGAGAAAACAGGGGAATGAGTCCACATCCCCTCTGTCATATTCCTGACGTTTGTTTTCTGTTTGGGAAGATGAAGATTTGCAGCAGGGCACAATCTTTCCCTGTGAAGGCTCCCATTTTTTAATGATTATTCTGGAACAGAAAGGATCTAAATCAACGTTTTCAAACTTGACAACTTATGATGTATGGACTTCAATTCCCAGAGTTCCCCAGCCAACTTTAAGAGCTGTCAAATTTGAAAAACATTGATCTAAATAGAGATGGGAGCCTCCACAAACTGACCCTTCCTAAAGAAATTGTCTTTTGGTCATCATTCATGTTTGAAAGAAAGGAGAGCCGCTGACTTAACCTATTTTCCCCCTTGTTGAAAAAATACGGAGAGTAGACCGCCTAGTAGGATACTAGTAAAGCTGCCAAGCTTCCCTCCACACACTGGTGCTGTCCTCATCTAAAGTGTAGACAGAAAGTTGTCTTTAGAACAGGCCTGTACTTGTATGCATAAGATTAACCTCAATGTGGCAAAATGCCAGGATTCCTTAAAGCTTTGTAATTATGCTTTTTGTAACAAAAAAGGGGAGGGGGTATAAACACTAAGCAGTAAAGAGTCAGCCCACTCTGGTAGATCAGATGTTTTGCAAGAATTGTGATCAAAATCAAAATTCAGATGCATGGCAACTGGTTCATATTTATGTCCATTGCTATGTCCCAGGGTCATGTGATCACCTTTTGCGATCTTCTGACAAGCAAAGTCAATGGAGAAGCCCGATTCACTTAACAACCAGGTTTCTAACTTATCAACTGAAGGGTGATTATTATTATTAACAACAGTGGCAAGAAAAGTCATAAAATGAGGGCAAAACTCTCTTTAACAAGAAGAAATTTGGGCTCAATTGTGGTAGTAAGTCGAGGACTACCTGTATTTTGTTTGCTTGATATGGAAATAACTTATGGTCACAGTTTACCAAATTGCTTAACTTGCACAGCAGCAGTTAAGAATGGTGTTTATCTGCACCATTCTTGAGAATTTGAACCTGATGTTCTCAGGCTGGATTTTATTGTACTTTAGCATTTGCTTTTTTTGTTTCCTGAATTGAAAAACCTTTAATGTCTCATGAGGGTAAAAACTTCTGGAAATATATTTCTCCCAACACTTTCTATTTAGTGGAGAGTCAATCCTGTTTTTTATATTATGTACTGATTGCTTCCTGTCCTTTTTAAAAATCCTGATTTATTAGGATTCTTAAGATTGTACCTGTGCATGATTTGTCTGCTTTCTCCTCTGGCATTTGTAATTATTTATGACTGAAAAGTGAAGTAAACATAACAAGGTCAAAAGGGAAATGTCATTTCCTGCATTAACATAGATGTCAGCAATGTTAGGGTACAAGAATTTATCCTAAGGAATCTGCATTAGAATTCACACTAAACTCTTAGTGCATGCTCCTCAACAAGGAATAAAATAGGCAGTGTTGACACGTTATTAGATAAAGTTCTCTGCCACTTGGTCAAATGAGGCAGTGCCCCACACACATGAATATCAATCAGCTGAAGCATTCACACTCCGATTATGGGATGCATAATAAGGACATTGACCTTATTGACCAGCTGGCCAGCAGAGCATTTTTAAGGCTGCCCACAAACAAGAGAAGAAACCAGCATTGCAATACAGTATAAAGGCAGGGCAGTATTGGATTAGATTGAGTGATAGTAGCAGTAAAGATAAATGGGGCACTAGAAGGCATCTTCATAAAAACATAAGGGAGTTCTAAGGGGTTGCCACAAAGAAGAGGGAGTCAATATATTCTCCAAACGCACCTGAAAACAAGACAAGAAGCAATTGATGGAAACTAATCAAGGAGAGAAGCAACCTAGAACTAAGGAGAAATTTCCTGACAGTTAGAACAGTTAATCAGTGGAACAACTTGCCTCCAGAAGTTGTTAATGCTCTAACACTAGAAGTTTTTAAGAAGAAATTGAACAACCATTTGTCTGAAATGGTATAAGGTTACCTGCCTGAGCAGGACTAGAAGATTTCCAAGGTTCCTTCCAACTCTGCTATTATGTTATTCTGACATCCTCAACCATCTCAGGCTTCAGGAGCCAGGACATCATAATACCATTGGAGCTAATATTCAAGATGTAGACTTGGATAACAGATCAGTGGGATCTGCTATCCATCTTTGACCTGGATCAAAGTAAATTAAGCCACTTTTCACCAGTGTCCTGATGTACAGACTCCACAAGACTTCACAGCAGAAGCCATGCTGTCTACAGTAGTCATGGGGTGAGAGGGTAGTCCAACTTTGGAAAAATCAGACTAAACCATGAACAAATGCATCACAAGAAGAATAAACAGCTGCTTTCATTAATTCTTTTAAAGCATTCCCTTTTGTTCTGACTCATTTTCTTCTAGATTAGGCATGGAACATGATGGCCAAGGGAATCGATGTGGGGATGAAGTGCGGATGGGAAGTATAATGGCACCACTGGTCCAGGCTGCATTCCATCGTTTCCATTGGTCTCGATGCAGCCAACAGGAACTGAACCGATACCTGCAGTGAGTACAAGGATGGAAGAGGATCCATTCTCAAGAGTCGTATGGCACTCTTTCACAAGCTAGAAAGCATGGTGCTGAATCAGAAATTTTTCCTGCTAGAAAAAGTTATATAAGTTAAATGAAATTTGTTATCCCGGACTAATTTACTTGCTCTGAACTAAATAAGATTCACTTCAAAATAACCATTCATTGGATTGCTTTGTAAGGATGTACTGAGACTATTTTGTAAGCAGCTACATCGTTTAATTTTTCAGAATAAGCTTCTTCTCAGTTCTGATTTTTTTAATCATTTTTTTATCCTATCGTTGTTTTATTAGTTAAAACACCTCTGCTTTTGTGATTTTTAAGGAGGGGTATCACTTTTGAATTCATTTATCCAAAATTTGGGTAATTCATATTGTTAGATAACCAGATTGGTCCCTGTTACTAAACTCTTGCTTAAGTAACACATGTTAGTATAATTTTTGAAATGAAAATACAATTAGATTTTTTTTTGTAGCATCAAATATGCTCCATTTGCCAAGCTTTTGTCCTTGTGTTTATTTTTTTCACTCTTATATATCCATTAGCAACATGTAAAAAAAAAGAAAAAAAGAAGTGAGAATCACAGCATAAAACTGAAGAAAGGGTACAGACATAATGAAATTATTATAGCAATCATTTTTATTTAATGTAAACTGCTTCCATTAAATGCCAGTCATTTTTTTTACCAAACAGATGAGGTTAATAACAGCCAATACACTTAATATGCATATGGAAATAGTTTCATCTCTACTTATAGCCACTTCTTTTTAAATTATTCTTCTCCTCTCCAGATGACGCTCTCAAGGTATTTATTATAGAGAGAGAATTTCCTTGCAACTGAGAGTTATAACTGAGGGCTATAATAAATGTTCTCTTGTTTCAGATGCTAATTTATTAAAGTGAATGCTGGGTTTGATATACCTAAATATGAAGTGTACTTTCTGAACTCATTTCTGAGAAAGCATGTCCTTGATTATGCTTGGAGCAATCATGGACCAAAACTCAAAATGCTTAAAACCTCCCACATCCATTTGTATGACACTGACTTTTGTCCATTGCAGTTCCTACGATTGCTTGCGTGACGATCCCTTTGACCATGATTGGCCTTCCCTTCCTCAACTACCGGGACTCCACTACTCCATGAATGAGCAGTGCCGCTTTGATTTTGGTTTGAGCTACATGATGTGTACAGCTGTGAGTATTTAATCAAACTCTGCTAGCCGTTATCCAGGGCCTTTGAAAGCACCCCTGAATAACTTTAAAAGGGGGCATCAGAAGATGGACAAAATGGCTGACAGGCACAGAGCAAAGCTTACTGGTAATCTTTGAGGTGTCTTGGAAAGTTGTGTAAACATCCTGTTTTCAAAAAACTGGAATACTAACAATTATGATGCTATAATTTTATTAGAGGGTTTTGGAAATAAAAGGTCTATGGAAAAAAAAAGGCTTTTATTACAATTAGTTCCCAGAATTCCAGGGATTGATTGCATAAGGGTTTCTCTTCTGCCTCATGTAGGAGGGAATTAGATGCATGTACTTAATGACCCATCATAGTTATTTAGTGAGTGCAGCTGTTAATCTGTACATGTACTATCCAAAATTTCCAAAAGCAGTTGACATGACTTATATATGCCCAGACTTCTTTCCCCCAAATCCTAAGAAATTTACAAAACAATAGTTGGATAAGAGCCTCCCCTCCCATTTAAAGCAATCTGGAAGCTGCAATGCAAAAAGTGTCATAAATTTAAAACGTTTTTGAAACAACAGTCAGAAACTGAATAAAAAACAGTAAACTAAAATTACTACTGAAAAGAAAGGTCCTTCAGATTCTGACAGGTTACTAACGGCAAAGCTGGCCACCAAATCCACGGGAAGATTGCCTAAGGCAAAGCTGGCCACCAAAGTCTTTTGTTAGGTAACTTAAACTTAACACTATACTATTTTTTTCTGGCTCAGGGGCTTTCTGAGGCTCTCTGTGGTATGTAAATAATTGAAACAGAGCTTCTTGTCCCCAGCCCAATTCTGGCAATCAGGAAGACAATCTCTCCCAATTCTGGCATGGAATTAATTTGATTTTCCAGATGAAGAGCATTCTCCACAAAACATATGGCATGTGTACACAGGGGGGGGGGGAGAGGGAGAGGGAGAGAGAGGGAGGAAGAGAGAGTAAGAAATGTTTTCTGTTGAGAAAAAAATGACTAGCCATGGATTTTTCATAGTCTGAACAAAATAGCCTGTTGTGATAAGTAATCTTTGTTCCATTTGATCAACTTCTTTTCTGGATGCTCTAGATATTTATAATGTTACCATAGCAGTCATGTCTAGTTTAAGCCTGTAGTTATCAGTAAAATATTCTGTATCTTCAAAGCCATCAATGTCTTTCTGTCCTGATAAGGTTGATAAGTGGATAGATAAGTAGGTACCAGTAGATAAGAAACATTTTCTAGACTGTTCAGCCCCCTCAAAGTAGATAATGCATTTACAAAACTCATAAAACAAACTGATAATGGAAACAAACTACAAAATTCACATAGAGTCCAACTAAAGAATAGTTAGTTGGGAGCAAAGGTGGTATTCAACAGGTTCTGACCACTTCTGGAGAACTGATAGCAGAAATTTTGAGTAGTTCGGAGAACTGGCAAATACCCGCTCTGACCAGAGATTTTACAATATCCTTCCCCTGCCATGCCCACTAAGCCCATCCACAGAACCAGTAGTAAAAAAATTTGAATCCCACCACTGGTTGAGAGGGTCCAATTCAAATAACAGCAAAATGGGAGCTGTTATCAGGATACTTGTAGATCTGTGTCCAGCACCACCCTTTTCGTTGTTCAGCCCTAACTGTCCTCTATATTCAAGGGTAGTCCGCAGTAATGTATTCTAATTGCCAACAGAAATTTAATTGCATAGAAGCTTTGAAGGAGCCATTAGTAATATAAATACTTTTTCTAGTTCCGCACCTTTGATCCTTGCAAGCAGCTGTGGTGCAGTCATCCTGATAACCCCTACTTCTGCAAAACAAAGAAAGGACCTCCGTTGGATGGAACTATGTGTGCTCCTGGAAAAGTAAGAAACTTTGACTCATGTCTCAGATAGAAAAAGATGAGGGGTTGGGAAAGGGAGAGGGAGGAAGAGAGGGAGGGAGGGAGAGAGAGAGAGAAAGGGAGAGAGAGAGAGAGAGAGAGAGAGAGAGAGAGAGAGAGAGATTAATATGCTCTTCAGGTTTAATGGGAAGCTACAGTATCTCCATCAAAAAGAGTTAAAAGATCAGGGAGTAAAAGGACAGAGGAGTTTAAAATATTTGCTTAATAATGTATATCTGGGTAAACATGACCATAACTAAAATATGGCCTGCAGGAAACTAGGAGTTTAACTATTTAAAATGAATGTTTTGAATTCCCAGAAAAATTGGAAGAACTTTGACCTTTGTTTACCAACACTATATGTAGTGGACAAAAATCTGCCTCTCGGTATGTCTAAAGCCCCATTCACCACTTTACAGATGCATAAAATTCTATCTTCTATGTTTTGCATAGGCATAAAGTATCAAAAATCCCATTCAGCTCTATCAGTCATTTTACTTTTATGAATAGCCTTTCCCCATTATTAGTGCATTAAACCCAAGCAATTAAAGGAACAGTGCTTGATCATTTCCTTAATCTGTTGCTAGACCTGAACTAACCCTCCTGTTTAGCCTTGCCAGATAGACCACACAGGAAGCAGGACCTGATATGCTAATTCTGCTTCATGGTAAAGTTTACATTAACAGGATTTTGCAAGTCTGAAAGTTCAATTTTCCTGCTGTCTTCTTTATAGCCCCAAAAACTAGGGTGGGTCCCTTCTGATCCTCTTGCCTCGCCCATTGTCCAGCTGGGGGATATGCTGTCTCTTATTTGACCATTTGCTAGACAGCACCCCTTCAACCCCTTTCCCAAGTTCTTTCTCACAATGCCATTATACCAGAGGTGGTATTCAGTCTCCTGACCAGTTCTGGAGAACCAGTAGTGGAAAATTCAAGTAGTTCAGAGAACCGGCAAATACCGGCCGGTATCTGACTGGCCCCGCCCCCATCTATTCTCTGACCTCCCGAGTCCCAGCTGATAGGCTGGGTCTTCTTTTGTTGCCCTGCACAGGAGAATGGAGCTGGAAAGCAGGTTAGTAGAGTGGGGAGGGAATGGAGATTTTACAGTATCTTTCCCCTGGAGTGGGGTGGGAATGGAGATTTTACAGTACCCTTCCCCTGCCATGCCACCAAGCCACACCCACAGAACCAGTAGTAAAAGAATTTGAATCCCACCACTGCATTATACTGCTGATTCAATGGGTAGATCTTATCTGGTTTTGTTTTCATCCAAATGCCTATCAGTTGAATTGCCTGCAGGTAAAGCAAGGATGAAATCTGGAAAATTGAGGATCTTCAGCTTTGAAGCAAATTTGGGGTTCCACTGGGGACAGCAGAAATGGAAATGAAGGTCTCATTTTGTCCGTTCTAAAATAACCCTTTTATTAAATAATTTAATAAGAGTATTCCAAATACTTCTGAACTCTACAGCAAAGCTTTATTCTTTTTCCACAACACATCCTTTAGCAGTCATGCAGATTAATAAAAGAGTCTCATGGTTTATTAAGACCCTCAAGAAGAAGAAATAAATAGAAGTAATGAGGGTAATAAAAGCAAAAATAGCAATGCAGCATTTCCTTTTGTGGGGAAATGTATTTATTGCTATTGTAGAGCACAAAATTGTTATTTCAGATAACAACATTATGGCCATTTTCAAAAATATGCTAAAGGCAAAACTATGATTATGCCAAAGAGAAAAGTTTACTGGAGCAAATTTAAATTATCAGTATAAGATTACCAATCTCATCTTGGAGGGCTCTTTAACTTTTCATGTATGTGATCTTTTACATGCCTGAGTACATGCATTTTTAATGGTGTTATTAGCTGTTGAATAAATGGAGGGATGGGAAGGAGAAGAGGGAAAACAAGAGAAGGAAAACCCATCAAGATGGGAAATGGTGCTCCCCTTGCAAGTGTGCCTTTCGTTTGATGCAAAGCCCCTGTAAACTGAAAATATGTGTTGATTCATTTGTTCCCTAGCTCAGTCAGAATGGGCTGGGGGGAAAGATCAAGCTAGCTTTTGGAAAATAACTCAGCTTATATTCAGGTCAACTTTGTTTTCCCTCTAGAGGTAATGCAAGCCCCTTCATTCAATTGGCTCCCCAGCTATTTCTTCCTACATTGATTCATTTACTTTCTCTCTCTCTTTTTTTTTTTTTTTTGCTTTCCTTCTCATTTATTGGACTGGCATTCTAGTTCCAGGAACAGCAAGGCACTAAGAGTGGGAGAATCTGTCTGTTTTCTTATCTTAATTGAATTGAGAGGTATCTCCTAAAAATCTGCATAGACTTAATAGTCTTAATAGATTTGCTGAGTAAATCAAGAATGCTTTATCCAAATGGAATCTGCCTGTCTGGTCTGAGCAACTCCCATTGAGAATTCTTCCTTCCTTCCTTCCCTCCCTCCCAACTCCCTGTAAAAACAAAATGTGCATGGGATATTGCCTAGGCAACGGGCCTTGTCTATGGAAGCCCCGACACTGTGGAATACACTTTTCCCACAAACACATTTAACCTCCATATTCCTTGCATTTCTCATACTGGAAAAATCTCTATTTATCCTAACATGATTAAGTTGATGGTAGAATTTTTATGATTTGTTTTAGGTTGATTATATGATTTGTTCCCAGTTGTTATATGGTTTATATGGTTTATAAATCATATCAATGATTTAGTTGATTGTAGAATTTTTATAATTTGTTCTGGATTGGATTTATGTTTTGTGCTTTGAAGTTTACTGCTGAGTCTGTAAGGACTGGGACAGCCAGCAAATACTACTTATATAGTACCAAATTATGGCTCAATATTAATATCAGTGTATTTTTTACACCTATCGGTTAAATAAATCCTGATGGAAATTAAATTAGTCTTTATTTTTTAAGAGAAAGATTCCAACAATTGACATATAGAATATTTTCAGTAAGAAATAATGGTATCGTCAGCTGTACCATTAGGCAGAAGGGAAGACATATTGGGTACAGGCCCTGACCTTTCAACCTCTTGATTTGGATTTTCTGCTAGGAACAGCTCCTTCCCTAAAGCAAACACACAGCTTTCTTAAGCAGCTTGTTACCCTATTGAGAGCTCTGTGTGATAATCATCACTTCAGTTTGAAGGTGGCTGCTGCAAACCCTTATTACTGCAGACAGTTTTCAATGCATCTCTCTGAGGGTGTTCTCAGAATGAGAACTATTAGCACCCCTGGTTGGATGTCTGTCAGGTGAAAGGAAATTGCTAATGCTTCAGTTATTAAGGAAAGAGCACAAGTAGGGATGGAAACTAATCAAGGAGAGAAGCAACCTGGAATTAAGGAGAAACTTCCTAACAATGAGAACCATTAACCAGTGGAATAGCTTGCTGTCAGAAGTTGTGGGTGCTTCATCACTAGAGTTTTTAAAGAAGAGACTGGAACAGTCACTTGTCTGAAATGGACAGGGCAGGGCTGTCAAACTCCCGGCCTGCAGGCTGGCTGCATCAGGTGTTGGCCATGCCTATGTCCGGTTTAGCAAAGGGGGGGAAAGTCCCGATACATCACATGATGCAGCCGTGACAATGTGAGTTTGACACCCTTGGTATAGGGTTTCCTGCTTGAGCAGGGGGTTGGACTAGAAGACCTCTAAAGCCCCTTTCAGCTCTATTCTGATTGATCGACATGAAAGAGAATGTTGGGTAGAAAGTATATGAAAGAATATTTTATTAATAATGTAATTTTTTTATTATTAACCTGTAGATGCCTCTGATAGAGTAGCCTTCAGATGAACTTTCCATTGTTTGTTATAATGGCTTAGATAAAAATTCTTAAGAAGAATAAAAATCCGACAATATTGCCTCTTCCTTTACCATTTCTGGTGTCCTTTCCTTTTTCTTTAAAGTTCTTTATGTTTGCACAGATATTAAAATATTTAAGAATTCTTGTGATGCTTTTATCCTATTCAATTTCAGTTTCTCTGCAGGTTTTTTGTGTTATCTGCTACAATTTATTTGCAGGTGTTCCCATCTTTTACATATTTACTTTTTGATGCCTTTTAACCTTTATTTATGTTTAAGACATATGAATAAACTTCATTTCTACCCTTAAACTTACATATTAAACAATCAATCAGCCTATTAGTAAATATTTAAACATTTTGCTGTCAGGTGAGTTTTGCCACTATTAGCCCTAATGCACTATTATATATTAGGCTTCCTGCTATCTCTCATCACACCAGTCTCCAGGAAAACATTATCCCACATTATCTTTTCTCTTACAAAGAATGGAATCTCTAGACTCAATTTACTTCTATTCAATTATTGCAAATACTTAAGTAAATTTCATGAGATTACTTATGATTTTACAAGTCAGTAGCCTCACAGAGATCTATGCTTCACTATTAATCCAATTCTTCCCGAAAATTTTCAAAGTAGAAGTAGTAGAAGTAGAAAGAACAGAAAAAAATGCAGTTTTTTTTCCTTTTCTATTCAGTCGCAGTTTAATATAATGTGATAAGCTTATACATGCACTAAACGGTATGTTAATTGTAATGGCTTCTTTGATATTAGAGTTACATATGGAATCATGTAAATTAGTAACAAATAAAGATTACCTTAGGTTTATGGCAAATGGCAACAAGGTTGTTTCTATTTTTGCTTGTAGATCAGTATCAGATCTCTTGGCAAAGATCTACTTCTTATCATTTGAAATATATTATAAGTAATATAATATATTTATATTACTTATATTTCAAATTATAAGATATAATTTGATTATTTAATATAAGTAATATGTAATTTATGTAAAGCTGAAAAATAATTCTTTTCCAAATTATATCATTTCAGATTGAAGGGTGATGATTTACCTAGTTTGAGTGAGCTTCCTTACGAAATAGTTCCTTGCATACCAAAAATTATAATGTAGGGACAAATGGTCAAATTAAATTTGCTTTCTATCTGACCCCTGGTCTCTTTGT